CTGCAGGCGCTGCACGGCGGCCAGCGTGGGCTGCGTCCGCTCGGGCTCCCGATGTTTGCTTTGGCCGTCGAGGAGGATCTTCTTGAGCATGCTGGGGGCCGGGGTCTCCATCACCTCGAAGGTCACCATCTCCTGGACCAGCCCCAGGAGGAAGAGGGGAACCCAGCAGCTGTCCAGCAGCAGGAGCTGATCCTCTCGCGGCAGCAGGTGGAAGGAAGGGAGGTTTTTCATGAAGCTGATGGTTTTTACCAGCACGTTGGAGGCCGCCCGGCAGGTGACGTGGGGTGTGCGGAGGCAGACGGTCCGGCGCTGGTGGCAGAGGCAGCGCCGGTGGGGCGGGCGGCGGCCGCCCCCGCCCGGGGGGGGGGCGGGGGGCGCTGCCCCGGGCCCGTCTCTTCCGCGCGGACACGCGATGAGCTCCTTCGCTGCCTATGACGGGGAGATCTGCCTCCAGCCTTCTGTGTTCGTGGAAGGGAGCCTTGTGTGCGTGCTTGCCGGGAAGTAAAACCAGCAAGGGGAAAGGTAGCGACTTCTAAATCGCGTTCTGCGCAGTATTTTAAGCTGGTTTTGTAGGAGCTGTGAAATCGTGTCTCGGAGACCTCGATAGCGTGTGTGTTTCACCCTTCCCCAGGGCGGTGTTGAGAATAGTTTCATCAACAGGTCGGTGCGTTCTGATGTCATCAAGGACAGAGTTTTTCTCGATCTGGAGCTAGGAAATCTTAAAATACGTTTTTCCTTCTTCACTCGTTGTGTTGGTTTAAAAGCTTTAAAATTTGTACAATCTTTTGAATAATTTGTGTTGTAGGAACGCATAGTTTTGAAGATGACACCTAGTGTGCCTTAGTTTGTCGCTGTCGCTTAGAGACTTATTCCCAGTGTGTGCCAACAAAGATAACGTAATAACAAATATTGCATATAGGGTTTCTTACCCGTAGTAAAGTTTTCGTAACTAAAAATATCTTTAAACTTTATTTCCAGTTCTGTAGTTGTTCTTACTTGGTTTGTAATTGTATGTTTTTGATAGTTTGGTGGGTTAAATGTATTGCGCTGTTAGCACTTTTACTTAACTACTTACTTGTAGTTTTTCAGATAGCTATAAGAAATGAACTTCTCTGACTTTTCCGTCATGATGTATTATTCATCTCTGTGTTAACAAGAGTGATGAAAATGAAGGCTTTGGGCAGGTTTAGGCTTGGTAAATTACAGTTTATAGCTTTATCCAGCTTCTTCCTTGCGTGCTAATCTCAATGGTCTGGTTCACAGATTCCCGCTCGTTTTCGTTCCCTGCTCATTCGGATGGTCCTCGGTTGTGGAAGGTGTGTGTGAAGGCTGGTCACGTACAGAAACGGTGATAAAACAGGGCTGTACGGTTCTTTTCTCTAGTACTTCCGTAGCTTAAAAAGCTTAAGTGGGAAGTACACCTGTGCATAAGGTCTTGTGCAAAGTTTGTAGGTTGCTTAATTTAACTGTTGAATGGGCTCTGAGAGGTGTAATTAAAGAAACCGGAGCTCACCCAGCTCGTCAGACTGCCTAGGGAACTGGTCTAACGCAGTGGTTTTCACCAGTGTTATCTGTGGGTTACTGGGGATCCCTGGATCAGGGCGTATAGGTTCAGGTAAGATGAAGCACGCGCAAACTTTTCAGAAACGTGTGTGTTTACAGTATTTGAAGGGAAACACTTTCAGAATTTTGCATGTGATTTCGAAGCTCTTCCCAAGCGAACAGCGTGATCAGAATTTGTTCTCCCGTGTACAATTATTCCCTGCGTATAATTTGTTCTAGAGCGTAGAACTGCAGGGTGCCATCATGAGCCTCCCACCTGCGGGTGTTGGGGAAGAATAGCAGCAGTGCTCAGTTGTCACAGATGCCTTATCATTTGAATCTCCTCTCAACAAGCTGGAGTGGCAGAACATATTTGATGTGTCACAGATACCTTAAACTTTTCATCTAAGCTGGAATGCCTTACAGGAGGAAAATAAGGCCAAAAGATACAAACATTCCTGTCGTATCTCTACAGTATCAGTTAAGGCCCAGCATGGAAAACCAGTGTATGGGTTTTTTTCTGAAGATGGGAACTGGATGTTTCTAGTTCAACAAACCTGAGATATGAAGGAAGAGACCTTGGAGGGGTGAGATGCTGCTGTTACTGGGCATGTGAGACTCATAAAACCAGTGACTGAACACCAAACCTTAGACACTCATGTTTTTCTAGCTCTGGACTGGGGAGAGGTGCTTCTGTAGGAGAATTGAATGCCTGTCTGTGATTACTTCTTGAATATCAAGGGAGAAGTTATTTTGCGTGTTGGAATCTTTTAGGTCCTTCGCTTCGTGCCCTGAACAGTGCACGTCTTGCAAAAGCATGTACAGTATGCTGCTTTGAGGTATCTAGTCCAAGTATGAGTGAGTTTGTGGGTGAAATGATGCTAAATATGAGAAGCTTGCCTATTGCCTAATATTCCCATGTCACATAGCAAGGAGATTAAAGATGAGGTTTATTTTGAGAGCTTTATACGTATAATGTGACAGATACAGAGCTAGGGTACTTGGAGAGAAGCACTTCAGGTGGTTGAGAATTTTACTGTGCAATGGAAGCCAATTTTGGATAGCGTTTTATTTAACTTTCCTTAACCTACAAAGGTAAGGTTTATTTTTTCAAAATGGAGCATTTATTTTTTCTGGTAGTACTAGTAATTCCTTTTGCACAAGGAGGAGTGGCGTTAGGGGGCGCAGGAGAAAGTGTAGCATCCATAACGTGGTAAGAAATGTGGTACTTTCATCACATTTGTTGAATGCTTGAGCAAGCTGTTTGGTCGGACAGCTGTTAACTTTTGTCTGGGGACATTTGAAAGAATAGAACTTCAGTGTAAACGCCACTGAATGTAAAACTTCATCAACAGTGCCTTTTCACGTTACTGGAAGCGTTTGGGTACTTATATGTTAAAATTAATTCTCAAATTTAATCTTTTGGATTTCTTGTCTTATTTGGGAAATGCAATAAAATGATTGCTTTGTTTTTCTTTTCTGGTATCTTCACAAACGGTTTCGTTCAGGACGCTGGAGCAATGGATGCGCTTTACAAGCTATGGGACTTAGTAACAGAGTAGTGAAAATGAAGAGTCACTGTGCTATCCTGGGAAAAGAGCAGTGTAGTAATCTTCTTAGCTATGTTGTTCCTTGTTTTCTTTAAAAAAAAAAATTACAGTAAACATGATTACTGAGAAGGTCATATCCAGAAATTCATTTTTTCATTAAAAATGGCTAGTTTCTTATCTCACTAAACACAGAGCAACTTAAAATTCAGCCTTAGAATTGTTCCATAGCGCTCCTAGTTGTTACACGCAAGTGAGCTGGGTGGAGTATTTCATAAATGCAATGTTAAAAAACCCCCAAACAAAAACCAACAACAAACTTTGAGGATTTCAGTTACATTTTTAGCATCTCTTTACTCGTCTCCTTTGCAGCTTCCAATAGGTAAATTCCGCTTCAGAATAATTAGCAGAACTTCTTCACTCGTTAAATTTGCATGTCATACAAGTGTCCGTATTGTATGCAGCACAATCGATACTCTACACGTAGCGTATCCACAGTTTGCATTACGTGGTTTTTTCTGCTTTCATTTGTATCGATTTTCTGTTGACGCTTCTTTGTAAATCAAGAAATACGTACGCAGAGGAAAATAAAATGTGTTTAGATACTCACTCTTTTTTCTCTCTTCTGTTACAGAAATGAGCCGTCAGACTGCTACAGCACTACCTACAGGTACCTCAAAGTGTACGCCATCACAGCGGGTGCCTGCCCTGACTGGCACTACAGCTTCCAATAATGACTTGGCTAGTCTCTTTGAGTGTCCTGTGTGTTTTGACTATGTGCTGCCACCAATTCTTCAGTGTCAGAGTGGCCATCTCGTTTGCAGCAACTGTCGCCCCAAACTTACGTGCTGTCCAACCTGCCGAGGCCCGCTGGGCTCCATTCGTAACCTGGCTATGGAGAAAGTTGCCAATTCTGTACTATTCCCATGTAAATATGCCTCTTCCGGATGCGAGATAACTCTGCCGCACACAGAAAAAGCAGAACATGAGGAGCTGTGTGAGTTTAGGCCTTATTCCTGTCCATGTCCCGGTGCTTCATGTAAATGGCAAGGTTCTCTGGATGCTGTAATGCCACATCTGATGCATCAACATAAGTCAATTACAACACTTCAGGGAGAAGATATAGTGTTCCTTGCTACAGACATTAATCTTCCTGGTGCTGTTGACTGGGTTATGATGCAGTCTTGTTTTGGCTTTCATTTCATGTTAGTATTGGAGAAACAGGAAAAATATGATGGTCACCAGCAGTTCTTTGCAATTGTCCAGCTGATAGGAACACGCAAGCAAGCAGAAAACTTTGCTTATCGACTTGAGTTAAATGGTCATAGGCGGCGATTGACTTGGGAAGCAACTCCTCGATCTATCCATGAGGGAATTGCAACAGCCATTATGAATAGTGACTGTCTAGTCTTTGACACCAGCATTGCACAGCTCTTTGCAGAAAATGGCAATTTAGGCATCAACGTAACTATATCCATGTGTTGAAATGGCAATCAAACCTCTTCAGGCCAGTGTTTAAAACCGTTGCATTTAATTTAGCAGAAACTAGGGTAACCATCTTTGACTGTCAGACAAATTATTTGGTAGATGGAGGGTAGACGTATATGAAGGGAAACAAAAGGAAAGGCTGTTAAATTACAGGAAGCAGTTGCATGTAGTAACACTAATATATTTAAAATAAGTCAACAGTAAACCACTGAAAATATATATACACCCAAAATGGGCATCTTTTGTATTAAGAATTGATTCTACAGGAAATGTTGTAAAATAATTCTAAAAACTTGTTTGTAGATTGATTGTACTGTTGAAAAGGATACTGTTTCGTGTTTTTGTTTGTGTTTTTTTTCCTCCCCCCTTTG